GACATTCTTGCCACACATAAAATATTTGAAAACCAAGTGCTTGAAGGCTCTGGACTTACTAAAAGTCGTTTCAAATACATAGTGGGGAGGGGATCGGATTACCCTCCTTCACTTGTACAGATCTTTGGTTCGCTCTAAACTAGACTACGGCTCCATTGTTTATGGAGGAGCCTGCAAAAGCAATTTCGAAAAATTAGATTCTATCCACCACCAAGGCCTGAGGCTCTGCCTGGGAGCTTTTAGGACCTCTCCGGTAGACAGTCTATATGCAGAGGCTAACGAACCTTTCCTTGAACAACGCCGCATTAAACTTTCACTGCAGTATATCACTAAACTATGTTCAAATCAGTCCAATCCAGCATACAATTGTGTTTTCAACCCTCTCTATGAAAACTTGTTTCCTAAACTGCCAAGCCTGGTTCCACCACTTGGAATCAGAATTCAACCACACATATCTGCAGCTAAAATTGATCTCAATAGCATAGCACCTTACCGACTCCTGTCTTTACCACCCTGGCAGATGGTGAAACCACAGGTCAATCTTACCCTCACTAAATTTAAAAAGTCTGAAACAAATCCCTTGGTGTTCCAGCAGGAATACATCCAGTTACGTTCCAAGTATGACACCCATAGATCCATTTTCACAGACGGATCCAAGGATGAGGGCCAAGTTGCCAGTGCTACAGTCATTGGATCTAAGACTGTCTCCTCTAGGATTCCCGACAACAGTTCCATTTTCACTGCTGAGGCCAAAGCTATCTTTTCAGCTTTGACCTATATTAATCAGCAGAATCATTCCAAAAACTTCATCGTTTTCACAGATTCATTATCTTGCCTTCAAGCACTTCAAAATGTTACTTCAAGTCACCCAATCATTCTGGACATTTTAGAACTTTACAACGACCTCTCTACTGGCCAATGTGACATCGCCCTCTGCTGGTTGCCGGGTCACGTCGGCATAGCAGGTAACACAAAAGCCGATGCTGCAGCAAAAGCAGCTCTTGACAAGCCCTGATCTCCACTGCTGATCCCGTACAGTGATTTCAAACCAACAATCAAAAGCTATACTCGGGACCTCATGCAAAAACGATGGGACACTCAAGTAGGAAGAAATAAACTGTATGAATTGAAACCAACAATTGGTTATACCTACTTGGGTTGTCAGTCAAGACGTGATGAGGTAATTTTACGATGATGTCGTATTGGCCACAGTCGGTTTACTCATGACTATCTGCTGAAAACGGATGGGGGTGGACCCCCCATGTGTGTCTCTTGCAATGAGGTTTTCACCATCAAGCATATTCTGCTTGAATGCGTGGACTTATCGTCTGCAAGGGACTCACATTATGATGCAACAAACCTGAAAGATCTGTTCTCCCGCATACATAAATTGTAACTGTGAAATGTGACTAACAAATTGCCTGCTTTTAAATTTGGTACTATGACTTTTTCTGCTTTTAAATGACAATGTAATGAATATATGTTTTTGAAATAAAACTCATTCCGAGTATGTACTTACAATGTTTATCAATGCAAACTTGTTCTCGTCACTATATGGCTGGAATAATGCCGATGTGACGCAAAACCCAACTCAACTCAACTCAACTCACAAACATAACCCATATAGCACGAACTGCAGGGTCTGGTAGAAATCTGTGCATGGTGATACCATCACCCGACCCCCAGGAGCATTTGAGCCATCCGATTTATTATATACTACAGGCTTCCACAACGCTCGCCTCGCACTCACAAACATAACCCATTTAGCACGAACTGCAGGGTCCGGTGGAAATTTGTGCATGGTGACACCATCACCCGACCCCCTGGAGCAACTGACGGCAATGCAATGATTCGGTATGTCTTTGTTGATGACGAGAAATCAGCAAAATGACGAGCTTGTTACACATTTTATATACAAGTAACTGAAAATCCTTCCTCACATAACGTGGGGTGGTGGGGTAGCCTAATGGTTAAAGCGTTGGCTCGTCACTTCGAAGACCCGGGTTCGAATCCCCACATGGGTACAATGTGTGAAACCCATTTCTGATGTCCCCCGCCGTGATGTTGCTGGAATATTGCTAAAAGCGGCGTAAAACCAAACTCAGTCAGTCAGTCAGTCCTCACATAACATCATTTCGGGTTCGCTGCAGTGCCCTGGTGACAGAGTTATGTAACCTGTCTGTTATTTTGTTGGCGTGCGAGAGTGAAGCCTATGACATTTTGGCAACTTTTAATCGTCTGTATTAATTGACCACAAGTTTTTTTCAGAATGAATTTGGTGTTCCGCTTAAGACTATCCTCAAGTCTTTCATATGTAATAGTTAAAAGAGTACAAAAGACAATAGTTTATTCATTCTTTAACGCAATATCTCATGAACTGTTATACCCAATGTTCCTAAAATTTGGTGACAGTTTACATTGGGGGATTACACAGACACAAGTTCATTTGGGTGACCTTGACCCTATTTTCAAGGTCACCACAACACTTTGATCACTTTTCTAAATCTTTTTAATGTGATATCTCGAGCACCCAATGTCTTCAAATTTGGTGACAGCCTACATTGGGGGATTACTCAGACACCAGTCGATTTGGGTGACCTTGAAAAAGTCAAGGTCACCTAAATCTGCTGATGGACACTTTGACCACTTTTCAAACTGACGTAAACGCAATATAAGTTATCACAACCTTACTCGGGACTGATAAAACCCTGTATTTCCCGAGACATGATCAACCTTACGAGGGACTGATAAAACCCTGTATTTCCCAAGACACGGTGTGATAATGCATTTATCTAGCCGAATGTTTTTACTAAATCAAAAGAAAACAATACGCACCGAATCGACTTGTTTTTATTTATGTGAGATGCCATGTTGACAACAGCTGATCGATTGACCTCAATGCAGCGCACATTACTAAAGGCTTCGCGATGCACGCTTTTCTCACCTCGCGTGGTCACCGAGTCGTGGCAGGATAATATGCCCTTTTCCCAGCTCGCAGATCGTGATGGGTGTACATGGTATTTTATCAGAGTCACTTGAACCAATCAAAACTCGACATTCTTACATGACTGGATAATATCTCTTAAAACCTTGCACCCAATGTCTTCAATTATGTTGACAGCCTTCATTAGGGGATTATGCAGATAATAGTCTTTTCAGGGTGACCTAGACCTTATTTTCAAGGTGGCATGACACTTTCCAAAATCTCACATGTCGCAATACCACGGACCCATTATGATCTTTCATGAGTAAAAGGTTGTATTGTCTTTGAAGATTTAGACATAATGTAAAGTCACCTGTTTTGAATATAATACATGGTAAAGATTTTCAGAAATTTTAGCCTCTGAGCTGAAGAATATGTTGCCATTTCTTACAAATTTGATGTCAGGAATTAACCTAACAGGTATCAGGGTAGGGTAGGGTAAAATTTGGACCCGTCCCAGCCTTTATACACTCTGATACTGACAGTGGATGTGTGCATCTGCATCTATACATTCAAATCTACTATATTATTGAAATATGAGTTAGGAGAAGATTCTGAGAAGTGACCATGACTGAAAACAACTTCACACAAAAGGTAATCTTCTTTTTGACCAAAAGATAAAAACTAGTAAATATATTATACACACCGTATTTCATTTTTATTTAGGGGCGGGGGACATTGACATGTTAGTGGCAAATACTTGTTTTGAGAGTTACAGACTTTGTTTGATCTTTTTCACATGATGTACAGGACCTTCAATGGATCAGTTTCTCGGAAACCACAGTGGATACAGCAATTGATTAATAAATTAAGGGACCGAAAACAATCAATATACAAATGACAGTGACCAAAACCCAGTATTGAAGATGAATAATATTTTACTGAGTTTGGCCCTTGCTTCATTTTTAAAAAATATTACTATGTACCCTCAAATGTGGCACAATTTCACCTACTGCTGTGGATACAATGATAAGTCTTTGCTTACATCACTAAAGCTCAAAGGGCTATTTCAAACATGGTTCACAGACTGTTTCAAATTTTTGGTAGATATGTCCCAGACAGACATCTTGATCCAACCAATTTCCCAGATTTGAGTATGAAAAATAAGTACAGTAAAATAAATGAAGAATTCAAAAGCAGTTAGGTTTTATTTGAAAATTCTTATGATTTTGCCACAGTTTTCCTTGTGAGCTGGCTTTACTTTGGCTGCTGAGTTTTGTTGACTGATAAAAATATTTCTTTGAAATGCTCTCAATCGGGTTTACATGGAACCTGTAATAATTTAGTTGTTGTACTGTCCACCAAGAACACATTTTGTTCAGTCTTATTATGTTCTTTATTATGTAAATGCCTTTTTATGATATGGCTGAGATATTGCCAGTGTGATGTTAAATGTTTTTAATTATATTTTAATTACAGAAATCAGTTTTTTGGTTTTGGTTCTTTTGATAACAAAGGACAAAGACAACACATTCATTCACAGATCCACTCTCTTGTTGTGTAACAGACCATTGCTAACTCACAGTAAACATCAAGAAGTTACTACCTTTGATGTTTAATATTAACCACCCATTCACTCACATGCTTGCTCCCTAACCTTTCCCAAAATTACTACACAGCAAACACTGAAGCAGGCAGATACGGTTTTGTGAAGGAGTATTTAACTGTTTACATGAAGTAACCTAAGAGATCCTACCAAAGACTACTGGTAAACAACTGGAGGTATATACAAGCTAGGGAAAAACTGAAACATTTTAAATATGTATGGAATGGTTTTGGAGCCATGTAGCTTTTGACAAAACATGGTAAATGTCATCAAGTCACAATCAGGAGGGGCGGTGGGGTAGCCTAGTGGTTCAAGCATTCACGCCAAAGACCCAGGTTTGATTCTCCACATACATACAATGTGTGAAGCCCCACTGAAATATTGTTAAAAGCAGATCTTATGTCAACAGAATGTGACATATTCTTATCAAGGGACTTAGTCTTATTTGTCTCTTCCTTTTTTATTTTGAAGATTGCTCATGTGATAAGAGAGATCAGGCTCTTCCAACAAACATGGTATAGAATAGAACATCATCCACGGGTGAGTAAAATTTCAGCTATTTGATTAGTTATTAGAATGCCAATGTTGCTATTGGCACTGATGTAATGTGCATTAAATTTTCTTTTTTAATGTGACATTGTATCATTGTAAATGAATGTGGATTGTTTATAGAATGATATGAAACCATGAGGCTCACGAGCTCATATGTTTATTTAAAGAATAATTGCAAAACTACAGATGAAACTAAGTTAAACAAGCTATTACTAATTTTTGGCTCACCTGACAGAAAGTCAAGTGAACTTATGTCATGGCATGATTGTCCACTGTTTCCCATTCTGTTAACATTTACATTTTTCAACATATTCCTTGATACAATAAAACCTTTGAAATTGAAACTTTGCATGAATGATCTTAGCTATAGTGTTCTGAGAAGTGTTATCAATTATAGTTTTATTTCTGAAGTCCTTTAACAGAGGCGGGCGGTGGTGTCCCCCGCCGTGATATTGCTCGAATATTGCTAAAAGCGGCGTAAAATCAAACTCACTCACTCACTCACTTTAACAAGGGAGGCTCTACCCAATAAAGCCGAAAGCTCTGTGGAATGAAAACTGAGAGATAAAACACTTGACATCAGGTTCTTCAGTACACCCATTTCACATATGAACACTCTCCAATGAACAAGCATATAAAGTTTTGACATGTGACATATGGTAGAAAAGAGTGGATTTAGGTGACAGAAGATAACTAATTATTGATATGAGGAGGGACTGTCATTACTTTGGTAACGAATAGTAGATGATATGTCTTGTTTAACCATTGAATAGTATATACAATGGGGATAAGAATACGCAAAGGAGAAAAATAATGTGTCCTGATCGCTCCAGGATTGGTTTCTCTGTCTGTCTCTGCCACGGATTTGCGTATATCTAGCTTGCGATATGTGGTACTTCCTCTTCGCTTACCGAAGGGACAAACGACCCAATTGGATCTCGGAATAGGCTTTATGATAGCTTGGGTTCCGGGCATTGTTGTGTTTATACCTATGTACCTGTATATCTCTAATTGGAGTGCACGTTCGCTGGTGGTTTTCCTTTGGGGGAAGCCCCTGTTTGGAGGAAGTGTAGAAACAACACGATCTAGATGAGTGGTCCAAACCCCATCGACATACTGTTGTGGTTTTTCTGCGCTGGACTCCATTTTGTTTTCCGTATACCTGTCTTGGTGTTGGGTCGACTACTGGGTGGAGGAGAACAAGGAAGATAAAAGGTGTCTCTATATATACTGAAATGCATGAATGTACCTCTTCGTTTTTTCTTTTCCTTCTTATTTTATCATTATTCTTTCCTTTGCGTATTCTTACCCCCATTGTATATACAACTCATTGCCTTGCTGTCTCATGCTTAAGTCTATAACGAATTGCAAACATTACACAAAGTATATGTTGAAAGTGTTCAAAATTCATTAATATCTTAAGAGCTTTACAACTACCAGTATAATACAAAAACTGGGTAAATAGATTATCATATCAAAAACACAGTCAGTGTTCTTTTACACCAAATATCCCAGAGAGAACTTCAGAATAGGAGCATATGGACATTTCTCTTGGACAGTCTTAGAAGAGCGGCCAGAAAAGCTGAACTAATCCTTATTTCCAAAAATCAACAAGAGCTGTTTTTGACTTCCTCATTGCAAAGAATGCACAAACTGGTATCTGCAAGTTACATTTCGCAAAGTAAGGAGATGAGTCACAAAATGGAGTCTGGGTGGCAAATACTGTACACTTTTGGATGTAAAAGTTTGAGTGACCCTGGTTTGAATGCAACCCAAACTCTCAGCCTATGAGCAGGAAGCTTATCAAATGAACAAGTACAATGAAAGCAAACTGGATATGATAATTAATGACTCCAACGACCAAGCGAGAATTTCAGTTCTTGATTTTAGATTGTTTTTACTTCATTTGGCTTTGCTTCTATGCCTCCTCCACTTCTTGCATTTTCTCCAACTTTTCTGTTTTCTGCTTTATTATCTCATGCTGATTAGAATTCAATGCAAGGTGAGCTTGCATGTGTAAGGTTTTGATTGTTAGGTTCTGTTTTGGGGATTGCAGACTCATCACCTACAGCCAATACAGCTATGTTGGATTCAACATTTGAGTTTGAAATTTGGACATTTCCCATGAAATAACTCCTGAGAATACAGAGAGAATGAATTCTTCATTCAATAAGACTGTAGCTCCCTGAGAAATTGCTGAAACAGATTCAGTAGTCATACTAACTCCAGCATCAGAAGCCTCATAATCAATGACCAAGTAGGTTGGGGAAGGGGGATTCTACACCACTGGCCCTCATGGTGTCCTTTCGGTCCAATTTTGCTCCCAGCGCCTACTAATAAATCGTGGTCAACAAGCGGGAACATCGTCAATGTCCCCCCTATTGAAGGGTGGAAGCCTATAATATTTGTTTGCTTTTTTTTTTTTTTTTAATAGCCTTAATAGTCATTGAACTAATGATGGACGGGTCTAACATTAACCGATCAAAATCGGCTAAGGAGTAGGTTCCGTATGAGGCAGGGCTTTCATTTATCTCGAGGCTATAATCGACTAAAGCACCGATGAGGGGTTCTAGCCTTATGGTGCCCACATGACCTAGATTGTTGCACATGGTCATGAATTGACCTCGACTAACCATTGGGCGTAGGGCTGAATAAATATCGAGCCCTTTGACATCTACCCCGACGAGGTTGAACAACAGTTTCTCGATCAATCTCTGCATGATATAAATATTTAGGGTTCAAACCTCTAATAATTATGGTGGTAATACCGTGTTGTGAGGTATGGTGAGTAATTCCTCTCGCATGAATCCCCTGCATGGTCCATCCTTGAGGTAATACAAATAGGGTTCGTCTTCTCAAATTCAACAAACAAAGTTCGGGTGTGACCATCTGTCGTCCGAAACCCGAACATGCGTTTTGCTAATGTTCCATTAAATCTCTTGGCAATATCTTGGCTACAGTGCGCTCCCGCTAAACCGCTCCTGACCTCGAGCTTGTGGTTCGCTAGCAGCTGTGACACAGAGCCCATGAACTTGCATCACGGATCGACTTGTAATTTGGTAGGCTGTTGTTAAAGGGCTGCGTTTATAGATATGTTATAGCGTCTAATTCAGGACAGCCAGTGTCCAAATATTTCTAAAGATCAAAAACTAAGTAGCCAAGCCATGTGAGACTAAATTGTAATTATTCAATCTGCAATCTTAATCCTTATCACTACCGCACTGGATATTGTCTTTTCACCCACCCTGTACCACTCTGTCACTGTAATTAATTACTGTATATGACATTTATAGCCTTAATTGGTCATCCCCCTTGGCCTTGTCTGCCATCACATCAATTGGTCCAGGGAAGTGCTATTGCTTCTCTATTTGTCCATCGTTGTCAAAAACTGGATATATGCTCACATCTGTGTTGTCAAGCAGTCTGGTATTCCGACTGTCTGTGTAGGGACGTCCGTGAGCAGGATAATGTCGCTCATTCCTGGGGTTGAGCAGGAACTACACTCACCTCATTTATGTATTGTGTATTTGTTTGTCATGTAACTAAAGAAGTTTGAACTTAACTTATCCTTCATCTTGGTCTACATATTGCTCATCTTAATTTTGAGCTAGTTCCCCTGTCGACGTATGTACACGTTGACAGCTACTATTATGATATGGGTCTGGGGTCCCAGTGAGGGTTCCGGTTGTGAAACCCCTTTTCTAACTGGCGTGCTGGTATGGTTGTGGGGAATTAACTCATCAAAGAGTCCAAAGTCACAAGAAGCTAACCACAATTTTATTTACAAGAATGGAATAACATGCGGTGGCCACAGAGAGTCGGTACAACCCTCTGGGCTTAGGGCTAGAGCTAACCTGTGTTGGGAGAAATTATAGGCGTAAACATTCCCTCTTGGTTGTGTTAGCCTTTTCCTCCGTCACTTGATGATGTGTTACAGACTCCCTTAGATAAAAAATTTAATAACAAAGGGAAGTAATCCTTACCTAGACAATACTTGGTCCCGCTCGATTACCTCCCTTGACTCACTCTTCTGCCAGTGATAACAAACACGTGTCATATTTTCCTCTGTACTCACCACGTGAAGACGTGTTCTAGACTGCCTTGGAATTTCAACCTTATGTGTACAAGTTCAACCTTCTACAGTGACACACGTGGTTAGTAATGTCGCATTTGGTTATATGCCATCGTATTTATTAACTTTGAACTCTTATTGTGTAAAAATTGTTTATTCTGACTTGCTCAAGTTTTCCCGCCATTTTTGTACTTGTGTGCGTTGGTGGGAAATTTTTGTATCATGTCTCAAAAGAAGTGTGTTGGATGCCAACGTTTTCAATCAGATAAGGACCCTCACTCATTATGTTTAACCTGTACTATGGATCCTCCTTGTTCCTTATCTTCACGTTGTTTGCTATGTCAGGACTAATCATAGACTGATTGGATTCATAGGAATGACGCTAGGCTGAGAGCTAAAAAACGCAAATCATAATCCTCTGATATGGGGAAAAAGCCTAAATGCAGTAAGCCTTCTACCCCCAAACACACCTCTACTCCTCAAACATTAGACTTGAATTCTCTATCCTCTAAGATTTAAATTCTTCTTTTGGATCGGCACTTAAAGATCTCGAACAGAGGAGTTTTAGTAAAATGAAGGAACTGAAAGGCTCAATAGCCGCTTCTTGGATCGAGCTCCCATCCGTATCTAGTCAGGAACAACAAATTGTAGAGAACCGTCGGATTGTTCCGCACATTTCCACGGCTCCTTCAGCTTAGTCTGAGGAATTGGTGACAACCACGGCATTGTCCCAGTCCGAACTGGCTAATCAATCCACCATACCAGACAAGACCACGGTGTCGAAGTCTGCGGGTCCGGGCTTGGATACTACCCGTACGGGTTCCACGGCATCTGTAACAGCCGTTACTACCGTGCCGTCGGACTCCACGGCTGTAATTGCTCCGGCCGGTGTTGAACACATTGATATTGACAATCC